TTTAGAGATGGTTTACATTATAATGCTTGCCAAGAGGAAGAAGCTAAAGATTTGCTCAAAAGATTTAAAGAACATCTGTCTAAAGCCAAACTAGAAAGAAATTATTATAATAAAAACACCAAATTGACAGAAGAACAAAGAAAATTAGTTATTAGACTATTTCAAATGGTTGCTTCCAACTTCTTAAATTTGAACCATTTGTTAATGAAACAATTGTTTGTGAAGTGATTGTTGACAAAATGAATCAAACCCACATTAAATGTTTTATTTTTAAATTCTCAATTTTAATTGGTCAATCAACCAACAATTGCGTGGGTTAAAATTTTGAGTTACCAGAACCGTCTCCTGTAATAACAATAGAGGTGTTCAAAGTTGTTCCGTTCCTGTTTAGGACCCCGAACAATCTTAGGAGATGGTACATTTGAAAAAATACCCACTTTGTTACCATTTTTGGAAATAATTTACAAGATTATCGCAAAATTTATCCTAATTAAGAAATGATATTCGATTTTGAAATGTATCTCCTAAGATTGTTCGGGATCCTTCCTGTTTCCTGTTCCTTGTTACACGGTCAAAATTAAATTTTATTGGCTGATCAGAAGGAACAGGAAACGGAACAGAGAAACAACAAATTTGTTGTTTCTCCTTGTTTCCACTTCCAAATTTGGAAATGATTTTTTAAAAAAAAAAATCAAAAAAATCAAAGATAAAAAAAAAAAAAATAAATAAAAAAATTAAATAAAACAATAAATAAAAAAATTAAAAATGAAAACAAGAAAACGCGAGTACCATAAAATAGCTCCTACTAATAATAATGTACAACAACCTCGTCCAGCTCAAAGTGTAGTTTCTACTAATAATAACATGCAACAACAACAAAAAATTTCTCCAGTTCAGGTAACTTCTTCTTCTAATAAAAATAATGCGCAACAACAAAAAATTTATCCAATTCAAAAAGTAGTTTCTGTTGATGATGATAAACAACAACAACAAAAGGAAACCTCTTCTACTAAGAATAATGACGTGCAACAACAACAAAATGTTTATCCAATTCGAAAGACAGTTTCTACTAATAATTTACATCAATATCAATATCAACATCAACAACATCATCAAAATATTTATCCTTTATCTAATACTGATAAACATCAATATTACTATCAAAAAAATATTTATCCAGTTCCAGAAGTGATTTCCACAAATACTGATGAACATTATCATCAGCAAGAAGAACAAAATATTTATCCAATTCCAAAGGTTGTTTTCCCTAATACTGACAAATATCATCATCAACAACAAAGTAGTTATTCAGCTCCAATTGCTTTTCCTAGTACTGATGAACAACAAAATATTTATCCTGCGCCCTTTTTTCAATTAAATCAATTTCCAAATCAACATCAGCAACAGCATGTTTTTGAACATAAAAATATTTGTTTAAAAAATAAAGAAAATAAAGATAGTCAATGGAGTGACAGAGAAGTAGAAATTTTAATTGCCTATCTGGATGAAAATTATAAGAATTGGTCCTCTGGTAATAAAAACAAATTTTATCAAGCTTTGATTGATAAAAATTTATTGGCTGGTAAAAATAATGAGCAAATAAAAAATAAGTTGAATAAATTACGTAATTCATATTTAAAAGAAAAAAAATCAGCTAATAAGACTGGATCAGCACCAACTAAATGGAAATGGTTTGACAAATTAGATGAAATATTTGGTACAAGAGAGAATGTAAGTCCTACATATTTAGCATTGTCCACTGATGATACATACACAGATAACGAAGAAGTTGAGGAAATAAACCCTCCCAAAAAAAAAGATGAATTGAAAAATAAAAAAAGAAAAAAAAATAATTATGAAGCTCTTTCAGATTTAATGGTTTCAATGAATCAATCTAAAGATAACTTCCTTGTTAAAAAAATTGAATTGCAAGAGAAAGAAGTTGATTCCAAAATACAATTGGAAAAGTACAAAATTGATAAAGAGATGGAACTAAGAAAATTAGAATTAGAAATTCAAAGAGAAAAATTGGAGGTAGAAAGATTAAATGCTGAAAATTTAAAAAAAAAATTAGAATTAGAATCAAAAAAATTATTACTTTAAATTTTTATTAGATATATTTACATATATACATATATATACATACAGTGTGTTAAGAAAAAAATTGGCCTGACAAAAAATTAAACTACTCAAGAAATACATGAGATAATTAAACAAAATTAGATTCATTTAAAAGTCAATCAATTACTTTATTAAATAAAAAAAACTCGATATAAAATACTATTGCCAATTTTTTGTAAGGTCAAATCATGTCTCTTTTTTTAAATTTTTTTTAAATTTTTGTCCGAAATTTTAACATGAAACTTTTTAACAATTGCTTTAACACAAAAACACACATAATAATCATATAAAAAAAATATATCAATTTGTAGCTTAAATTCTGAAGATCATTTATATAAAATTATATGTGCCCAAATCTTCTAGAAATTCGTCAATTAAAAATAAAAGAAATTCAACTAGAAAAATTTCAATGTAAAGTTTTTTAATCATTGCTCTAAAGCCTACATAATAATATGCTTCAAAATTTTTACGTGTAATAATTTATGATCTTTTGATTCTTTGACATAATTTTTATTATGCGGCTTTGGATTTTGGTTACTTTCTTAGAAAACAAATTTAGAGGCCAATTTTTTTCTTAACACACTGTACATACACATATATAATTCATTAAATTCTTAGAAAATTAATTAATTGATTTCTTTTTTCTTCTCCTGCTCTTTTCAATCCCAATTCACTTTCACATTCCATGACCAAGTTTGCATCATTGTCATCATAATCATTCACATCTGCTCCCTCATCCCAAATTTCCCCATTTAACTCTAAAAAATTATGCAAGATTATAGCACATTCTGTCAATCTAACAGCCATTTTGATACTTTTAACATTTAATTCTCTTAGTGCAACGAATCTAGATTTAAGTCTGCCAAATGCATGCTCTACAACTATTCTATGTTTAGAGTGAAGTTGATTAAATTGAATTTGTGTAGAGGTTTGAGAAACTTTAAAAGGTGTGATCATAAAAGGGGAAATTGGGTATGCAGAATCTCCTAAAACAATATCATCATCTTTAATAAAGTCTCTCCTATTTATATAGAACTCAGAATTGGAATATACTCTAGCATCATGAACACTGCCTGGCCAGCCAATTAAATAATTGGTGAATATTCCTCTATGATCAACTATAGCTTGGCATTGTATTGAGTATCTTTTTTTACGATTAAAAAAAACTTCTGGGTCTTTAGAAGGAGCATTTGTTAAATTGATGTGTGTTCCATCAATTGCTCCTATTACATTTGGAAACCCACCAATTTGTTGAAACCCATCTAATATCTCATGTCGATGTTGTTCAACTGGCCATTTGACATAATTATTTTTTGTCTCTAAAATAGCTTTTATTGTACGATTTGTATATAGAATAACAGTTCCTTCTGAGATTCCAAACAAACTAGATATGGTAAAAATATCTCCTTTAATGGCTAGTCTTCTAAGAAACACAGATACTTGAAAATTAACATCTATTTGTTTAATAAAAGCATTTGTATGAAATATTGGATTAATCTTTAAAATATCTACTAATCTATTAAAATTAGATTTGGACATCCGAAAAAATTTTTTAAATCTTTCTTCATTGTACTGAAGATAAACATTATGAAACTTGTCTAAAGAAATTTGATTAGTATGGATCCTTGGTTCAAGGTAACAAAAATTTAATAGTGAAACTAAAAAACATTTTAAGTTTTCATTCCTATCTTCAAAATATTCTAATTCATTTTCATCAAAACTTTCATCAAATTCATCCGATTCAGTTATTTCTTGGAATAGAATTAGAAACAATGCCTCTTCAATTCTTTCACGAGTTGACATCTTTTTTAAAAAAACGCGTAAATTTTATTGTGTAGATCAGTCCAAATATAGAAGTTATGGAAACAACTAGGAAATTTCTGCTCAAAGTTGTTCCTTATTTCCATTACCTAATAAGGTATTGTACAACAAGGAACAGGAACAGGAACGGAACAACTTTGAACACCCCTATTGAATGACACTTGATCCGCAATGTTCCGCGACTAATATATATTAATATATATTATGACATCTTTCCTGGCCAGGTCTGCGAGGAGGGATTGGGATTCACGCAAATGTCCCCTGGAATTTAGTTGCATCATTGTATCATCGGGGGATACGGGTCAGTGGTCTTATGTACACGAGGAAGATCGTAATGTTTAAATAAAGTACTCCAACATCTATAAATTTCCAATAGTCAAATGTTGCATATTGAATGGTTTTCCAAGTTGCCTAGAATGGTTTCCATGTGCTGCCTTCCTTTACTACCAACGCTTTCTTGTAATTATTTATTATACTTAGTATTAATAATGGTTACGAAAGGCAAATATACCAATCGTTTATTTATTATGATTGAGAATCTTACGATAATTACCGAAGACGTGATAAATCTTGTTCCATGTTTTGATTTCAATATGATATTTATAAAAAGAATAATAAACACATCTTCTTTAGAACCAATGATACCAAATAACAACGTTTAAAGTATTTTTATATGAGTTTCTTGGACGGACTCCTCGTCGAAATTAATTGCTTTCCCCTCCAAAAAAATAATAATTCGCATCCCCCAAAAAAAAAAAAAAAATAAAACAATAGTATTCTTTGTACAACACCATAAATTTTACGCGTCAGTTTGTAGTCTTCTAGAACTTGTAAAAAACAAATAAGCAAAACTTTTAAATTTATTTTTAGCCCATACACAATCTCACAATATTAGTTTTAACAATAATAATGACCGTATTTACATGTCTTTATAATTAATATAATATCAAACATTATTATAAATTAATTCTTTATAATTATCATCAGAGATATGTATCATCATACATTATTGTTATTATAAAGTTAGACTAGCCAAAAAAGCAAGAAACATCATTATCCATAATATCGAGAGAAATTTATTGTTATTTTACAAAATCAATCCAGTAAACTAATATATGAAAAATCCATTAAATCATTTAAAGCGGGATAAAATAATTATTATTATAGAAAATAATATATAAAATAAAGATGTTGAAATACACTAGCAGATCACAGATCACAACAATCATGTGGATCATAAGAAGAGTGACACATAGAATGTCCTTGTAGTTGTGAGACAGTCATATTAACATGACTTCTGGGGTTCTCATACACAACAACAACCACATTGATCATAAGAGGAGCAGCATGTAGAACATCCACGCAGTTGCAGAAGTTGCCAACAACTTGGTGAGAACTCCATACTGCTTTGAACACTTAACTTTTAGCCTTTGGAGTAAAAGTTAAGATCTTAGAAAATATGAATCTAATTAATAAGTATAAATTAATATTAACTCATCTTAAATATTGTTGAATCAGGTTGTTATCCTTAGTAATTTTTTATTGTAGTTTTTTTTTTATTGAGTTATTAAGATAGTAACCCCAAAGCAAGACCATTTTGTATTAATTTATTAAATAATTTACTTTGTTTGTAGCTACAAGAGGATTTGTCTACATTTAAAAAGGGAACTGTGTATGATATTATCTGTGTTTCTAATAATAATAATCAACAACCAATACTATAAAAAAATGATAACAAGGATGAGAAGGTTTGTAATATCTTATATATACATGAATATTTTATTATAAACCTGGTTCAAAATAATGTGATTGTATGAAGGAAATTATATATATACATATATGTAAAATATAAAAGAGCAAAGAAATCAAAACACAATAATGATATTACCTTATTTTTGCTTTTGGTGAAACTTTCAAACTTAGTTTAACATACTTTTAACATGTCTCTGAAAATCCAGCTTTTATTTAAAGCTATTTTACAAAGCCATGCAGTTCTATTAATAAGATTTTATAGAAGCAAATTAGTTAAAAGTAAAGATAAAATAGTAAATGATTAAAAAACACTTACTTTATATATTAAAAATTTCTTGCATAAAAATGACACAATATCTTTTGATGGAAGTTTTGAGAAGCACACTCAAAAACTTCATACAGATCTCCATTTACCATGAAGTCTCTAAAGATAATAAGGATACCGGCTGCAACTTTTGATGATGGTTGCTACCACCCTTGTATCATATAAAACTGATTGCAACCATCTTTACAACCATTTTGTTTCCTTTTTTGGGTTGCAACATGGAACACTAAAAGATAACACCTGAAAGATAGCACCCCTTCTTTAAAACAATTGAAAATCCTTTGTTACACAGTTAGCAAAAAGGGGTGCTACCTTTTGAGATTTTACAGTTAGGGTTTTATTCATGAATATCATGAATATCATTAAGGGGGTTACACACTATTAAAAAATTTTTGAATTATTTAATAATTAACAAATAATAAAAATACTAAGACAATTCATTATTCATTTGTAAAAAAATCATCCATGGTTGATTGCTTCAAGCTATCTAAATGGAATTCAAATAATTGTGAATGAAATTTCTGAAAAGTAGACAAAGTATTTAGGTTGTAAGAAAAATTTTGGAGGAGGGTTTTTTAGGAATGATAAAATATTTTCTGAATATTCCAAAGCACTTTTAACTGGTGCGAGTGTGCAATCCGAGTTTCCTAATTAATAGGGTATTTATAGCTCAACACACAGCCTCCTCGCTGACTTATGGTTGATTCTATTGTTTGACACACAGCCTACTCACTGACTTACAGTCAAAACAAAAATATAACTTTTATCCGAAGGATAAAAGGTTCCCTAGGTTCTATATATTATATCCCAAAGGCGTCCCCTTGAGATGACTCTCAATAATTAAAATGTTGGTTACCTGCTATGGACAGCAAAGGTTCACCCTTTGTAATGTATTAATTATTTAGATGTTATTATTTTTAAGGTAAAGTATGTTATGTGTTTTTATTAGCAATAATAATATTATTACAATGTGTTGGAAGGTATTAATTATTAGATCAATCAATAATTAAAAGATTATATGAACATGATGATTCTGACTTGGTCTGAAACCAAGTCTTTTTATACCTCTTGGGGTATTACAAATAACATGACTT